GATTGAAGCTCAATATCAAGAAAACAAAGATTCTCACCACTGGGCCAATTGGCAGCATCATGACACATGGTGAAGAGACTGAGATTGTTCACAGCTCTAGTTTGCTTATTTCTACAGCAGCCAGAAAATTAAAAGACTAATTGCACTGGGAAAGGGTGCTGTCAGAGACCCCTCCAAGGTACTAAGGAGCAACAATGTCAGTCTGGAGACTAAGGTGTGCCTGATACAGGCCATGGTCTTGGACAATGACTAGGAAAGATAGAAGAATTGATGCCTTTGAGCTGTAGTGCTGGAAAAGAGTGTTGAATATACCATGGCCTGCTAGGAGAACAAACAAGTTCGTCCTACAGAGGGTGAAGCCAGGTTGCTCCTTGGAGGCAAGGATTCTGAAACTTCGTCTGACATACTTAGACATGTTGCAAGGAGGGACCGGTCCTTGGAGAGGGACATCATGCTTGGGAGGGTGGAAGTACAGTCCAGGAGAAGATCCTCGATGAGAAGAATTGATTCAGTGACTGAGGTGATAGGGGTTGGTGTGTCAGAGACAAGGTTGGCACAGGACCGAGTACAGTTTAGGGCTGTTGTACATTGGGTCGCTATAAGTAACAGGCAACTAGACGGCACATAACAACAACAACTACGTTATATGCCATCAAATTGCCAATCCTTTAGTATATTAGGTGTATATTCGTAATTGTTGGGTGCCCTGAGTCCAGTACGACCCACTGCGACCTGTGAGTAATAAACCTGAACCCTGTCTGATCCTGTGCCATCCTCACACTTCCTGATACACTAGAGCCCCTTGTGACAGTCATTATGCCAATCCCCCTGGTTGAGAATCCTCGTTTCCTTCACCAACCCTCTGCCTTTCCAAGCATCATGGCCCTCTCCAAGGAACAGCCCCACCTAGCAATATGCCGGAAGGGTGTGAGGCGAAGCTCTATCCTCTGTGCCTCCAAGGAGCACTCTGGCAGCACTTTGTCCAAGACATATTTGTTTGTTCTCTTGGCCGTCCATGGGATGTTCAGTACTTTTCTCCAACACCACAGATCAAAGGCATCAATTCTTTTTCTATCATCCTTATTAACTGCCGAGCTCTCAGATGCACAGCAAGTGATCAGAAACACCATGGCCTGAATCCGATGCGCCTTAGTCCTCAAACTGACATCATTACTCCTCAATAACTGGGAGAGGTCCCTAACTGCAGATTTTCTGAGTACAGATGTCTTCCAATTTCCTAACTGCTGGTATCAAGAGTGTTGACTGTAGATCCAAGTAAGATGAAGGTGTTGGCATTTTCAATCTTTTTCCATCCATCATGATGTTGCCTATCAGGACACTGGTAAGAACCTCTGTTTTCTTGATATTGAGATGCAGTCCATATTGAAGGCTGTATGCTTTGATCCTCTGCAACAAGTGCTTCAGGTCCTCCACGCTTTCAGCAAGCAAGGTTGTGTCATCTGCATAATGCAGGTTATTGATGAGTCTTGCTCCAATCCTGATGCCACATGCCTCTTCACAGAGTCCAGCTTCTTGAATAAATTGCTCAGTATATAGAATGAATAGGTATGGAAACAGAATATAAACCTGACCCACTCCCTTCTTAACTTTAAACCATGACTGTTCCCTTGCTCTGTTCTCACAACAGCCTCCTGGTGTAGGTACAGGTTTCACAAGAGCTCAGCCATGTGCTCTGGGATTCTTAGTCTTCTCAATATCAGCCACAACTTGTTATGATCCATACAGTCAAATGCTTTTGCATAGTCAATAAAGCAGAAATAGACAATCTTCTGGTATTCTTTATTTCAGCCAGGAAAACATATTTATAATGCATTCTACTTACATAGATACTATATTCTACCTTATGTAGTGTATATTTATGCTATGTTCTACTTACACACTGTTCTGTTTCTGAAAGATCTTGAGGAGTATTTTTGCTTACATCTATATTAATGATATTGTTCAATAGTTTCCACATTCTCTTGGATCACCTTTCTCGGGAATGGGAACAAAGACAGATCTTTTCCAATCTGCCAATCTGTTGGCCAGGCAGCCGTTCTTCAAATTTCCTAGCATGGACTGGTGAGAGCATCCTAGGCTGCATCTGTTAACTGAAATAAGTCAATTGGTATCCCATTGATTTTGGGGGCCTGAATTTTTGCCAATGCCTTCAATGCAGCTTCCACTTCCTTCTTCATTACCACTGGATTCTCCTCATGTGGTATTTCCTGGAAGTTTTCAGTGTCAGTCAGATTTTTTGGGGGGTACAGTGATTCTGTGGATTCCCTCCATCGTCTTTTGATGCTTTCCGGGTCACCCAATATATTGCCCATGGCATCTTTCAATATTATGACTTGATTCTTAAATTTGTTCTTCAGTTCTCTCAGTTTGAGAGATGCTAAGCGAGTCCTTCCCTTTCTACTCTCCAATTCCAGCTCTTGGCACATTCCATTATAATACCCTGTCTTCTCAAGCTGCACTTTGACATCTTCTGTTCAGCAATTTTACTTCAGCATGTTTTCCCTTCGTTTTGGCTTCTTGACACTCTAGTGCAATTTTTAGTGCTTCTTCTGACACCCATTATTTCAGTTCTTTCTTTTGCTTTCTTCCTGGATGTTATCCTTGATATCAATTCACAATTCGTCTCAGGTGCCTCAACCTAGTCTTTTTTTCTTTTTTTTAGAACAAACAGAAGCTTTTTATTCAGAATTTAATACAGTCAGGACACTCAGCACCCATCACTTGTAAGCAAAATTACGAAGAGGTAAAGGCAAGCAGGACAATGATAAAAGCAAAAGATTCAGGTACACTTAACTGAAAACTGGCAACCTGGGAAAGCTGACACAGGCTAACTAGAAACATGACTTCTAATATAACTTGTCAACCTCTTCTTAAGATGATCTTGAAACTCAGATGGAATAGATTCAAGATCATATCTTGGTTCTCATGGACTTATTTTAATTTTTATTTTCTTTCCCCTCAATTTGAATTTGCACATGAGTAACTGATGGTCTGACCCAAAGTCCACCCTGGCCCAGTCCTGACTGCCAATAAGAGCTTCTCCAATGATTTCTTCCACAGACGCAGTCAACACAATTCCGACACAGCCCATCAGGTGAGGTCCATGTGTAAAGTCATCACTTGTATCTTTTAAAAAAGATATTTGCAATGAAAAAAAAATCACTGAAAGCACAATTTCGATCATTCTATTTCCAGCCTCATTTCCAACACCAAGCCGATGTTTTCCAAGCACTATTCCGTTTTAACCGTTTCTAACGTTTGCATTCCAGTCACTAGTATTCACTGATGTATCCTGAGTGCACGGTTAAGTGTGAGGATGGCCCAGGACAGGACAGGACAGGACTCAGACCTTTTCACAGAGTCACTATGGGTTGTCCGCAGCTCAACGGCACCTAACAACAACTATTTACATAAACACAAACGTGGAATACCCACACACAGTGCTGGGGGGTGTAATCCCGCCTGCCTCGTTCAGCGGGAGGCTGTACTCACGGATTACTGTGATTACTGTTATTGCGGGACGCTGTGACATCATTTACCTCTGCTGCCCAGAACTTCTTGGCCCTCCAGTGCCTTCCTTTGCCTTGATCGTTTTGTATGGACCTCTTCTAGTGACATGTTATTGCCTTTCCAGTCACTGAGTTAATACATACGTTGTTGTTGTTGTTGTGTCATCAAGTCGCTTGTGACTCATAGTGACCCTATGTACAAGAGCCCTAAACCTTGTTCTATCTTTTGCCAACCTCACTGTCTCTGACACACCCACTCCCATTGCCGCAATCACTGAATCGATCCATCCCATCAAGGGTCTTCCTCTCTTGCACTGTCCCTCCACCCTCCCAAGCATGATGTCCCTCTCCAAGGACTGGTCCCTCCTTGCAACATGCCCAAAGTATGTCAGATGAAGCCCCAGAATCCTTGACTCTAAGGAACAGCTCAGTTTCACCCTCCCCAGGACAAACCTGTTTGTTCTCCTCGCAGGCCATGATATATTCAACACTCTTCTCCAGCACCACAGATCAAAGGCATCAATTCTCTTTCTATAATCCCTAGTCATTGTCCACCTCTCTGACACATAGCACTAGGCAAAGACTATGGCCTGGAGCAGGCGCACCTTAGTCTCCAGACTGATACTGTTGCTCTTCAGCACTCTGGAAGGGTCCCTGGTAGCTGGCTTTCCCAGTGAAATGATTGTGGACCCAAGCAAAGTAAGACTGTGAACAATCTCAATCTCTTCACCATCCATGGTGATGCTGCCAAGTGGCCCAGTGGTGAGAATCTTTGTTTTCTTGATGTTGAGCTTCAATCCATATTGAAGGCTGCAGAGTATTCTCTAATTTAATTTTGTTTAGGAAGCTCTGGTAGCCTAGTGGCAAGAAGCTGTGTTGCAAGTCCAAAGGCATGTGGTTTGAATCCCACGAGGCAATCTCCTCCTGTGTGATTAACTGCCTCTGAAAACTCGCTGAGGGGTCAGCTATGGGTCGGTTCAAGCTCAACAGTACATAACAACAACCACCACCATCTAAATAGAGAGTTAACATCCCTCCCATTGCATTCCCACTCCTTCAAAAGCCTTTCTTTCTGTCCAACATCAAAATCCAAGGCATCAACTCTTGTCTGATTTTCCTTATCCACTGTCCCGCTTTACAGGTAGATGTTGCTGTTTGGTACCATCGGGTCAAGCATGACTCACAGTGACTCTATGAACAACATCCTGTGCCCCATCCTGTCCACCTCCTCACCTCCAACACACCTGAGCCCCCTGCTGCAGCTGAAAATGCCCGGTGTGGGCCTGGCACGCCTGAGTCTTCTCAACAACAGCTGCATTTTACAGGGATCGTTCGCACTAGATCTGCCCAAGGGAGAACATCATTTGATTTCTCGGCTCTCAAATTGTCTGCTGCTTGGACGGGCACCCAACTATTCATTCTCACACATGTTCATTAACGTGAGGCTAAAACACCACAAGCTTCGCCTACCTTGGCCGGAGGAACTTTTCCAGCTGCTGTGATCTGACCGGTGAAAAATCGTCCAAAATGATTTGCTGCTAGTACGACAGCCTTATACCTTTAAAAAAAGAAACACAAATTCACTCACACGTTATCAGTGAAGGTTAACCGCCAAACAATAACACCTCATCTTCCATAGCTTGCTTTGTGCCAAGAACAGTCCTCAGTGCTGTCCGGAGGGCCATCTGTGCATACAGGAAGTAAGGCACGGACATGAAGAGACCTGCCCAGGTCACCCAGATAACAGAGGATGGAGGTGAGGTCCAGCCCGGGAGCCCGCCCATGGGGCACACTCTACCACAAAAGCTCAGCCCCCTAACACGCTCTTTTCAGTCGACAAGACGGGAAAATGTGTAAAAGAAAAAGCTAACCACGGACTGTGGGTGCAGGAACTACCAATGCTTCAAACTTTTTGGTTTATGTTCAATTTTTCATGATAACGTTCAAATATTCTTTGATGACTACATAGTACTTACAGGTTATCGATGTTAGGTACCACTGAGTCAAGTACGACTCAGCGACGCAATGAACACCACATCTGAACCCTGTCCTATCCTGAGTCATCCTCACAATCTCTGACATATTCCAGCCCCCTGCTGCAGTCACTGTGTCACCTCACCTGCTGAGGGTCTTCTGTCACAGTCCCTCTCCAAGGAACACCCTCTGCTAGAAAGATGCCCAAAGTATGTGAGCTGAAGCTTTGGCATCTTCGGCTGCAAGGAGCTCGCTGGTTGCACCTTCCCCAAGACATGTCTGTTTGTTCTTGTGGGCAGCCTATGGGATAATTCAGTACCCTCCTCCATACTACAGTTTAAAAGCATCAGTTCTTCTTCTGTTATCCTTACACACTGTCCAGCTCTCTGATGCACAGTGAATGGCTGCGAAGATCATGGCCTGAATCAGTTGTGCCTTAATCCTCAGACTGACATCATTGCTCTTCAGTAATCTGGAGAGGTCTCTGACTACAGACTTTCCTAATGCAGCACATCTCCTGACCTTCTCACCACTGGGACAAAGGTTATTGATCATGGATTCAAGGAGCTGCATAGTTTAGGGGGCAGGAGGTAGGTTTGGTCGTAGGCCAAAATGAATGAAGTAGACGGGGACACCAAGAAAAGAGGGGGACGGCACAGAGAGTAAAGACGGGAGCGTATGGAGCTTAGCGTCCCTCGCTTTTCTTGAAAATTGCCAGGAGGTAAATCACAGAGAAGATTCTTTTCTTACTGGTTAGGTTTTCCTGTGCTGACCTTCTGATGCTTATCTCAGGAACAAAGAGGCTAACAAGCAAACGGCTAAGAACATCAGGGCAACCCTGCCCCAATGCCGATCGCTGTCATCTCTCTTAAGAGAAATACACCTTGATTTGTGCCTTCTTCAGTTCCTGATTAAGCATTTGGTTTAACACCTGGCTTCCCACAAAGTCTGTCATCTTAAACAACTGGGTTTACTACTATGAGGAAGGCTCAGGATAACAGATGGCTCAGAGCTATTATTCATCGGGTCGTTGTGACTTATAGTTGATTTGACGGCATATAACAACAATATGCTTGCAAATATTAACAAAAGATTTCTAGATCAAAGAAGAACACCTCCCTGGCCTCTCAGGACTAAAAGCACAGGATTTTGAAGGAGACTGCCCTCAGTTAAATCCTAGCTCCACCACTTCTCAGGTTCATGACCTCGGGCAAATGTCTTCAACTCCATGGTTACTTTATCTACATACTGGGAGCACAGGGCATCTACTGCTCGCAAACTGTCAGTACAAAATACAGGTGAAATGCTTAGCACGTCCCTGCCACACAAAAAGTACTCAGCAGAAAGCACTGTTGTTAGTTACAGACTCAAAATGTGCAATAAAGAAGGACAACATGTCATTTCTTGTTGTGGCTGTTGATTGCCTAGGAGTCAAGCACCACTCATAGTGATCCTATGAACAAGAGGCCTGAAGCCCCTCTACAACTACTGACATGTATCAAAGTTCAGAGTTTCCAGAGGCATATCTTTTAGGAAGTGAGAGGGGCTCCTGCTTCCAATAATTTTTTTGCAAAAAAAGTATTTTTTACATACTACTCTTCATTGTTGTATCATTATATACTGAAAAGATCCCTTCACACATTCACATTTGGTAATATATGCTGCTGGTGGTGGTGGAGGTGGAGGTGGAAGTGGTGGTGGTGGTGGAGGTGGAGGTGGTGGAG